TAAAGAAAAAGTGGTGGAGGGTTTTGAAACACTTCATGGTTGTAAGCCAAGCTTGCCTGAGGGGAAATGCCTCTGTGTAGTGATCGGATCATTACCAAGGGCGAAGCAAAACTCATCATCATGGCCTCCCCAAGAGGTAATGTCTTACACAACACCAAGCATCCAGCACTATTTATAGATGCTCCTGCAAGGGCATGCTCACCTATATGGGCACACAAGAGTGTGCACGCACCCTTGGGGACTCATGTTATTCTCTCACAACACCCTTCTCCAATGCCTTTTATACTGTGCAGCCCTCAGAGTCGGATTTAAAAAGGAACCGTTTTCAAATGAAAAGCTGAATTCACATTCCCTTGAATTCAAATGATCTTTCAGCACAGTATCTTCATGCTGCAAGGCATCTTTTGAAAAACCAATGCCAAACTGAAAAGGGAGAGCGGGTTATTTTGTGAAAAGGAAAACAAAATTGGACCAGCCCAGCATATAAACCACAGCATATAGTGTAAAAAAAATCTCCACCGCTTTGACCTTAATAAGGGTCTAGTCTTTCAGCTTCTGAGCCTATCCACTTTATGTTTTCTCTCTCTGTGTTTCCCTTGGTGCCTCACCTTCTGTTTCTCCCTCTCATTCTCCCCACAGCCCACCAAACTGTAAATTTCTGCTGGATGAGGAAAACCTAAAATCTGAAGAAGTAGCAGATAAGCAGGGCAGTCTTCATGCTTCTGAGCCAACTGGGTAAAAAGAAACTCATCTTGTATCAAGGTTAACTTGCATGAAGTTGAGGGGGAAAATCCTTTCGAGTATGCCCTCTTGTGGCATTTTGCTTTTATATGCAATTTAGAAAGCAGAACCTCTAGAAACGCATAACTGATTTTTTTTTTTAAAGAATGAATGAAATCCTCATTCGGTAGACCTAAATCAGTGATACTCTTTGGCCCCTTTCAATGCTTTACTGTGAATCCATTTAAAAAGATGTATCTGGTTTTCTTTTCATTCTTTTTGCTGGCAAGTGTTAATGAAGTAGAAAAGATCTAAGGCAGGCTACACCCACTTACTTGGCTGTAAGTCCCACTAAACTCAATGGGTCCTATTTATTTCTGCACTTAGGTTCAGGTTGCAACTGATATAAGCTTGTATCACAATTTCCACTCATGCTTGATTAACCACTGATCATAATCACTGGAATGTCAATACTATCTCTTCTTTATTCATGTGTAATTTTCATTTACAGCCTTTATATTTTTATTGCTCATTGAGCTGCCAGTAGTTTATTACAGAATCCCAGGACAAGTTCAGTATCCATTAGCAGCCCTGATGGCAAATTTAAGAGTCCTATGAACTGCTAAATTGGCTGATAAGCTCTCTAGCTATTAAAGAAGCAGGGTTGGTTCCAGGTTCAGTCATATTTGCAGGAAACCCACTGAAAATAATAGGACTCAAGTTACTCATGATTATCTTTAATTCCACTGATTTCAGTATGTCCACTCCAAGGAAGGTTACGCCTGAAGCCAACCTATTGCAGCCAGTACAATTAATTCATCACTGGATATTGTAACCATTATCAGCCATTTGTTCTTCTTGACAAGTAGTATTCCTTCTTTCTCCCTGAAGTCTACTTAAGTACAAGAGTTCTGGCAGTCTTGTGCTCACTGAAAAACTGATCTAAATATGTTCTATTCTCTTACTAGTGAAATGTCATAAATATTTGTCAACTGCAGTTTGTTAATGGTATTATTATAAATGCTGTAATTCTAATGGCTTGCAGGAATCCCGCTTTCCCTGACACCACAAATCTTTTATCCATATTGAAAGTTATTAGTTTCACAAAGTTCTGCCTGGAATTTTAATAGCACCTGCCAAGAATTTCATATGATCTCCTGGGTCTGAGAACACCTGCATTTTGGGATGAATTCAGTATATTAGTCTTCAAGCTTTATTCCCACTGTCTGCTCACTATATCTTTCAGAATATTACATTTTAGTCCCCCTCCCCTGATTTTAATCCATCTTAGCCAAACACAAAAGAATAACCTGTACACATGCTTGCTGTTAATCAAATCTTTCATTTGTGTGTGTGGGCGTGTGCCTGCATGCATGCATCTGGAATGTGCCTCTGTATAAAAGGTGAAACACTTCTAATTTAGTGAATGTGATAGCTCCTAATTCTGGAGAACAAAAGTACCATTACATTAGATCAAGTCCCCTGGGCATGGGGAGAGGGCGCAGATAGATTGCATTTATTTTCATCAACTTGCAAGCATGCCTCCATTCATTTTCACTGATTCTCTACCGCCTCCCTTTTAGACAATGGTTGCTTTGAGCAACAACAGTATTAGCATCCTCTTCTGGAAAAGAATATTTCCCATAACAGAATGTTTTGCTCAACCTGATGCGGAACATATCCTGGAGCTGACGTGGGTCACTCATGAACCTCTGTAAAGCCCTGTCCTTCAACAGGCTAACCCTTAACCATGATCTTAGATTTTCTTTCACTTCGAAAGGTAGGATAAAAAGATACCACTGCTACTTTAGAATCTGGCATTCACCATTGCAAAAGAGGGAAATTGCATGTATGCCTTTACCCAACAAAAGTGTTCAAGGGTACAGAACTAGGCATGTTTAGATGGAGGCAGGGGAATCCTACAATTCCCAGCAGTCTCCAGCCAGCATTGACTCTTGGTTGGATTTCTTCCAGTTTTTCCATGCATAGGATTGTACCCTAGGAGAATTAAGATTCAAACACGCAATGCAAGAACTATAAATGGAGGTGAAAAAAGACAGTGTCTGAGCTTATAGAATGACTTATTATAGACTTGGCACCCTCCAAATGTATTGAAATCCAACTCACTTCATACACAGCCAGCATAGGCCTTGGCCATGGTAGCTGAGGATTATGGGAGCTGGAGTCCAACACATCTGGAGGTTGCCAGTTTGGGGAAGGCTACTATACAGCCATATCTATGAGATTAATTCAACCAGCCATTGGAACCTTAAGTGAATAACTCCTAACAGCTACAGCATGTGTAATTTCAAATAATATAGTTTATAAGTATGTAAGTTTCCTTGATAGCCAAATGTAGAGAATATTGCCATGGAGAAGGAGGTGATACTGGAAAAAGGAAGCTAAAATGTAGATAGATGGCAATTTTACTCTGAGAGAGGTGTTTGCTTGGGGGTTTAAGTGGGGAAAGAAAGGGCCCAAACTTCTCAATCCCTAGTGGCTGGCACTGATATAAATGTCATCAGTGCTAGTGCTTCTAGAAAATATAATGGTTTGAACACTTGGTAGCTTGTTACTGGAAAAAAAAATGAGTAGATGGACTATTGGCCACTTTCTGGGCAATGGCATGGCTAATATTAATCATGTGACGCTCTAAGCCAATTGGACAGTGTCACCGTTTAAGCATGTCACAGTTGCCTTTAGAGCCTGTTTTAAGCAGAAACAGTTCAGACTGCTGGAACTCACACAGTGTTTGAAAACCACAGTTCATTCCATGTGTCTTTCCCCTCTGCTTAGAGAGAGTGCTGTGGTAAGCTAGATCTACCGTCTGCCCATCAGATGCTCTTGTCATGTCTTTGCTTCTGAATGCTCCTTGCCTAAGTGAGTCAGACCAGAAGTACTTTTGATGATCATAAGCACTGGAGCATTCTACCCATCCTTGGAAATGGAGAATGAACTTTTTTTACATGGTTCTTTAATGACCCCTCTTCCGAGCGAATAGCTGATTTGGTAAGGGCAACCTGGCACAGACACTGACCACAGGGACATCTTCTAGCATGTCAGAAGCCATGCAGTTAGCACCAGGAATGTCTGCTCTTAAACCCTACACGCTTCTGTGCATGTTTTTCCCTGCAACAGAACATCTGAGTCAACAGGTTTTCAGGACTGGAAACTCAGAGTTGACTTGATTGTTTATATTGCTGCAGCAAAGTTTTAAACAAAAATGTTCAGTGTCCCTGTGCATACTTTGCCTACCATATGCTGTGCTGAGCAAAACAATGACATTCTTTGCAAGCTGTCTTGGCAACAGAAAAAATGCTTTAACTCGGCAACACAACTAATTTGTTGGAAGTTTTCAGTAGCGGTTCTGAACCTATGTAGATCACACAATCAGACAGGTAAACCTGAGTGTGTGTGTGTGTGTGTGTGTGTGTGTACAGCCCCTATCAAAAATGCCAGATCTTAATATGCACATACCAAATTTTCAGTCTGCCTTTATTTGATATTGGCAAACTAAATAATTCTCTGAGCATCATGATATAAATGCGAGCAGTTCCTGACTAGATGTCCAGGACAATCTCTTTTATTTTTATGAGCAATTGAATAATTCAAAACACACCCGATCAAGGTTGCATTCTTTAGCGAGGAACTCTTAAGAACACCATCTTTCTTTTCTGTTTTTTCCAGTGTGCAAAAGTCAGCATTACAATTTGGATTGCCTACAACTATTTGTCCCAGTTACTACTGAGGTTTACTGACAGTAGCTGTTAACACTTTTACTGCCCTGAGTATCTGCTGTGAATTGAGTCACAATTATTTTAAAAATACAGGCAATGTGGCAGGTTTTACAGTGTGTTGGTTCAGAAATTAATTTTAGCCTCCCCCCCCCCTTTTTTTTTTTAACAGAGTATTGCAATTTGTCTGTTTCTGGCTCGGTCTTTCATTTTGAATCATCACCCTCAGTAATTTAGCATTGCTCCATTCTTTTCATAAAGTAAGAAAAAGGACCCACTCACTTAACATTTCAAGCCACAATAGGTATATCTCTCCCCACTAGTTGGCTGGCTGAGTGCAATAAGTGTAAGCAGCTCATCTGTAGGCAAGGTTAAATTATAGAGACCCAGATTGCTTCATGCTTTCTCTCTCTCCCTTCCCTCAACCTGTAGCCTCACAGAAGGCATTCCGGTTGCAAAGAAAAGGCAAGCTGATTGCACTGCTGACCGAGACCAAGGGGTGCCTCCCTGCCCCCATCCCCACCCCCACCCAGTAAGAGCACCCACCTGACTCTGCAAATGTGATGATCTCTGAAGTTTGCTCCACAAGTTCATTCATTTCTGTTCTTCTCCCAATGTCATCCTCTATTTCCACATAACCATCCTCTCTCACTTTCCCCACATGGAGTTTCTTGATGGCATTGAAAAGTGCCGCTTTGGGGACCGGCTGGGTGATATTCGGTCTGTCCCTCAAGTGCAGCATGTTGAGAATGTGCTTTTTGACTGCTTCCACCATCTCAGGCTGGGAGCTGGGCACATCCTTTGAGAGCGTGGCAAGGGCACAGGATGGGCAAGCGGTGACTGAACTGTGCCCCTCAGATCCTGGGGTCGGGGAACTCCTCACTGTAATCCAGCAAAGCACCAACAAAAATCCTCTCTTCAGAAGCAAAGGCATCCTGGCAGCAACAGTTGTGGTGGTTCCCTTTGAAAAGGCACTGCTTTTCCTAACACCACTTCTCACACAGTTTGTTTGGTTTGGTGTTTTTCCCCTCTTCTTCTTCTTCTTCCTTGCTTCCTCTTCAGTAAATGCTCTGGAAGAACAAAAAGTTTTCTGTGAAGTTTTGTTTGGAGGGTCCCTCTCTGAATTCAGTAAGTGCTATAGATGTCTCTGAATGTCAGTGAGAGGAGTTCTGACTGTCTCAGAGTGGGAGAAACACACACTGAGAAAAGGAGAGAGAAAGAGGAGGAGGAGGAGGAGGAGGACGGATTGGCCTAAAGTGAGTGAGTGAATGAGAGAGGGAGGGAGTTTTGTCTGTGAGTAAAACCTATGATTAGGAGGGGGAGGAACAACCCATATTCTGACAGGCTGCCTTCCTTATGCTCACTGCACTCGAGCATACACTTCTCGTTTATATCTCGCCACTCATGTTTTTTGCCCTACCCACCTCTGCTTTTAAATCTTTTCTTCTGCAACGTTTGTCTTGGGCTTCCATCTGCCTCTCCTCTCCTCTCCTTTCCACCCCCTTTTCTTTTTTGCAGCTTCAACATCTTTGCTTTTTTTCTGTTCCTAGCTTTTTCGAAGCACCTCAGGTTAACCAAACCGAGTGTGAATGAGAGGGGAGGAAAAGACAGAGTTTTTAATCACCTTCTTATGAGTTGTGGAAGGTGTTAAATAGACTCTGAGGAAGCGCTACTTAATAATGTGTGACCTGGGCAGAGGGAAAACAGGAGGGGAAATATGTTGATTGTGTTCTGAATGAAGCTGAGGAAAGGTTCCACTTGGTTGTCTTTTTTTTTTTTTTTAGATGCTGTGGGTTATCAACACTGGCAAGAGATCTGAAGAAAATGAAACAAATCTTTATTTAGGTTCGTTTAATATATTTTGTATTTCCAAGCCGCAGGAAACAGAGAGGCACTGAAAGGCCCAAGAAGCACCTAACTGTGTTCTATTCTCAAGTTCTGTGCTGCAGTTCTTTGCAAAAGTTGCCAACAAATACATTGGGAATTAGGCAGCACTGCCAAATCTATGGGCTTCTGCCAAACCAGAAAGCCTTTTCTCAATTGTAACAACTTGAGGCAAATCCATGAGTTTTGCTAGAGGGAATTTTGCCTCTGTTAAAGCTGAGTAAAAGATGACTAAGGTCATAAACTTCAATAGATTAGTCCAGGCTCCAGCTTAACATCTTCTGAAAGTGTCCCTGATTACATGGAAGGTATTTTTTTTGCAGTAGCGCTTACTGCAAAATGGTGATAGAATTGAAAAATATAATGTTATGGACCAGACCTTCCCCTAGACATAATGGATTTCCATTAATTTCTGTAACTGTGTGTTTATTTAAAGTGGTTGAGACTCATGTCTGGTATTCCAAAATTCTTATCGGGATTTCCTCAAATAAGAAACCAGATTCAGGGTCTCAAACATTTTCGATTTGCCTTCCATTTCATTCATTCATAAACAGGTCTACCTCATAATGGGTGATACCCTCTGCCATTTCTTAAATGCCAAGACAACCAAGAATCTCAATTTAGAGGAAGCACGGCAATGAACAGAAACATGGAATAGACACAGTAGAACTTGGTGAAGAAATAAGAACACAAATACTTTTTTTCTGCATACAGATCATTTGAACAAGCCAGAAAAGTTGTGTCCTATCCTTTCTTTCCTCTGTTTGTGCAGTGGATGCTTTCTGACACTGAATACAAAGAAAGGGACTTCCTTGTCATTTACATATGCTGCCTAGATCTCATCTCCTAAATTGTGATGCTGCTGTACTTAGAAAGTATAGTTGGTTTCACTTTTTTTTTTTTTTAGCAACTCTGGTTACACCATTTAAGTACTGTACATACATATTCAACACAAGCTTCATTATACAACTACTCATCAACAGCTTAAATTATAACTGAGCCTGGAATAAGGGTTGGAATGAAGCATTTCAACACACTGGGTAAGCACATATACAGTATTCATGGAAAATCCCTAACTCCTGATCGAAATCAAATCTTTAAAATGGACATTGCTAGCATAATTCACCTAACATTACCATTAACAAATATATTTAAATGTTAAACTTTACTTTAAACTGAAAAAAAGAACATTTCACATGACCTGACGGATAAGGGCATACCTCATATGAACTTTCCAAAATAAGTTTTTAAAGTTGTAAAAGAGAGAACAGAAAATTTAAACTTTACCTTTCTGTGCCTAAAACTTCCCAGAGGTCTTTCTCATTGGCACTTAAGAACACTTCCAAGTTCTTAGTGGAATTCAAAGCTTTATATTGTACTGCATTTATTTACACATTCGTGACACATCACTGTTGTGGGATACAGCATTTCACTCAATTGGTTAGTCCTATGTTACAACATTATATGAGTGTTTTCCTGTGTGACACATACTTCTGAATAGCATCTGAATATCATTTGCCCTGAGACAAGATTTTACTTTTTCTTTGAAAACTGCAATTTACTCATGTGTAAATGCTGTAGAACTATGCAAGACTTTATTAAATCAGATCAAAACCAATCATGACTTGGAAACAAGCTGGTTTTCAAGAATTCTGTAAGAGTTATACAGATAGGAAGGGATAGATGAATGAGTTTGCATGTCTCTGTGTATCTCATACAAATTTTTGAAAAGACCCAAAACCCAAATAGTTCTTTGCCAATTAATTATAGTACTTGATCTGTCTTATTTGATAGCAGCAGGAGACTTAGACACTCACACGTGTATGTCGGAATCAGAAGTATTGAAAAGAAAGTGGTTGCATCATCCCATTGTGTTACAGCATTCATGTTTCTAAAAGCTGTTGAATACTTAAAACTTCATATCTCTTGTATCAAGGTAGCACAGCTCAGCAGTAACTCTGAAAGCCAATTTATTTCATGTACAGTTTTATCTTCTTTATGTTGGCTCGGAGTGCCACTGAGTTCAGTGTGGTTCAGTTTGCAAAGAGGTACCTGGTCCGAGTCCCACTGAACTCAGTTCGGCTTACTTACAAACAGAGGAAGCACTTTCTTTTACAAGCCTGCTAATGAGCTGTATCTGCTTTCAGTTTTATTGTGTATTTGAAGCTGGAAACAAAGAGCATTTCCTTCCTGCTTTTCCACAACATAATCTCTAGGTGGCACTCTGATATAGCAGACTAGCACCAAAACATAAGCGAAAAGGGGGAAGAAAGGAAAAAAAAAACATTTCTCTTGCTTTTACAATGAAATACTACAGATTCCTTACACTAAAACAAAACAAACGAACAAAAAAGCACTTCCAGTGAGAGCGCAGAGGAAAACTAGAAAAGTCATAGTATGATACTATATAGCACTATACTATAGTCGCAAATACATTTGCCTAAAATTGCGACCTGATTCTATCATTTTACTGTTTGCTATTTTGGAACTGTTTTAGAGTTTATTGCTGCACAGTGTTGTAAACACACTGGCTTAAGCAGTGGAGGTCGAATACTCTTAAAAAGAGAAAGAAGAAAGCCTCAAAATGGATAACTGAGTTGAATTGCGATCTGATACGCGAATACCACTTCTGACAAAGGCCCATAAACTGCAATCCACTTTCATATGCAATGCCCATTCAAGGGAAGAAAGCCAAACTATGGTTCCCAGCTTCCAGACTGAACTCTTGGGTTTTTTGATGTGCTTAATATGGAAAATAATTGTCATTAAACAGGGAAGATGTAAAATATTATGAATAGCTATTCAATTTGCATTGATGCAAAGGAATGCTATAACATTGTAGACTCTTGTTTGTTTGTCATTGGACTTTTATCCCACCCCATCAGCCACGGGCAGCAGAGCAGAGTATAAATGGTGGGGTGAGGAGGAGCAAGATGTTCTTATGGCAAGTGTGGTGTAATGCATACTGCACATAGTTGGGAACTAAAGAGAAACATATGACCAGACAGGTTGTCTTGCTCTCAAGGTTTACAATGCATATAACAAATGTCTCAGGAGCCCATAGAATCTTTAAGTGGGATTCGGAGAATTCTTTATGTCATTAAAACTGTAATTTAGAAGAGAGAAGCTTCCCCTTTTTTATTTGAAGAAGAATGGGAAAGATGAGATCCCAAGAAAAAATCTTAAACTCTGATAGATAAAAGAGCTCTCTCTTTGCAGAGTTTTTGTTTTCCTTCAAAAGGATATATGGGTTTGGAAGTTGTGCATTTCTAATAACCAGAACTAGTGGTTTTCAAGCCTTTCAGCATATTTTGTATTTTGGGATGTCTGCACATGAGTCCCATAATGCCTTGTGTCGCAGAGGATTCTGGGAAGCACTGGAGTTCACGTGGAGAACTGCCCAGCATCCTGAGCTTCTCAGCTGCAACATATGAATTAGGAGTGCACCCTATGGCAGGGTTACATTTCAGAGAAGCTCACAGGGACACATTTCAGTGATGGGCAGAGCCAAAGAAGGCAACGGCGGTGAGAGCCAGTGTGGTGTAGTGGTGAAGAGCTGGGACTGGGACTCAGACGATCTGGGTTCTAGTCCCCGCTCAGCCATGGAGCCAACTGGGTGACTTTGGGCCAGTCACAGACTCTCAGCCCTACCTACCTCACAGGGTTGTTGTTGTGAGGATAAGATGGAGGAGGAGATGTAAGCTGCCTTGTGCCCTTTGCAGGAAAAAGGCAGGATATAAATCAAAAATAAATAAAAAAATATCATAGAGCATAGCCTACAGCATAGCATGCTTTACAACACTTCCTTGTGCCCATGCCATGCTGGGCAAGGACAGCAAGGATGGGCAAACTGCCCCTTCAGGAGATGTACTTGCTGTTGCGGATCCATGCAATACGTATATAAAGGATCTTCGGAAAAGACCTTGGAAACCACTGACCAAAGGCTTTGCCTCTAAAGTTCGCTGCAATAATAAATTCATTATTTAGAACACAGTAGTGGTCTAATTTTGGAAAGTGTGCACTCTCAACATCTTTCATGCATCACTGTCTGATTAATAGATAATTCAAGAATGGTGCCTGTTGATGTTTCAAAAATAATCACAGGAGATTTTGGGATTCCTCATCAGATGTGATCCTTCTTGCCTGGCACTCTTCTATCCCAGTCAATGAGCCATCTGAACTGTGGATGCAAATATGGCTCGTGATTTTCAGGGGATCATTTAAAAGGCTCATCATGGTTTTGGCTCTTTTTTGCCTTCTGATGTGGATCCACTGTGTG